GGCGGGCGCCACCGACGGCGAGGCGGACCGCTCGCCCAGCGCGCTGCTGCTGTCGACCGGAAAGTTGGACGGCAGAATCGAGAGGCAGATGGCGCGGAGCTCCTGCACCAGCAGCGGGATCCTCGATGGGACGCGCGGGTTGGCAACGCGAGGGCCCGAGCTGCGGCTGCTGGGCCGGACGAGTCGGCTCTTCTCGGTGCGCGGGCCCGTCGGCTGCGCAGTGACCCTCTGGGCGCTGCAGGTGCACGGCAGCAGCTCGCCCTGCTCAAACGCGGTGCAGGTGCAGCCAGACTCGATCTCGCGGACGATGGCGGCCCAGTAGCGCTCGCCGGCTTCTCGCTTCCGCCGGCCCCGCTCGCCGTCAAAGTTGGGCCGGAACTGGACGTTGGGGTCGAAGACGACGTCATGACGGAGCTGCGGGTTCTTGAGGATCTCGAAGAGGTCGAGCTCGCGCAACGTGTGCCTGGTGATGGGTGGGTGCAGGGAGGGCGTGAAGATGGTGCGGGAGCGCGAGCTGCTTCCGGACGCGCCGTAGTGGCCGGGCGACGCCCCCACCTTGCCTGGGTGACGGAAGACGGCGCCACGACCCGAGCTGGTGTAGACCTGGGCGGCGCCATCTTTCGACGAACGGCCGTGGGACGAAATGTAGCCGATCCAGTGGTGCGGGAAGATGTACCGGTGCTGAGCCGGCGAGGACACGTCGAGCGTGGCCTTGGCCCTGAGGTTGGGCACGCTGTGGGCCCGGCGCAGTCGCGACGGCCGACGGCGGCTCGACGACGAGGTCGAAGGCGGCAGTGCGCCAATGGCAGCGGCGGCGGCAGCAGTGCTGGCGGCGGCGTGCGCGTGGCTTCGCGACGGCACGGCGGCGACGGGCGGCGGCAGGATGGCGGCCCGCTTCATCGACAGCAGCGCCGGCCGGCTCGGAAGCGTCGGCATGGGCGGCACGTCCATCGTCTTGGTTGCCGGAGTGCCGTGAGCTTCCCGCTGGCCGACGTTTGGCAGTCGATAGGTCGAGGATGTGCGATAGTCGCCCACGCCTCGTCCCGCCAACACCCCGCCGCTAATGTGCGGGTGCGTCGTAGCGGGCGATGCGTCACCGAGGGCACCGGGCGGCTGCAGCGAGGATGCTGCGGATCGAGTGCCGTCGGCTGGATCGGCGGCATTCGCATTGGCGGGATACCGTCCGAGCGAGAGCTCATTGCGGAGGGAGCTCTGCGACGACACCTGGTGCTGATGTGCCTTGAAGCCCACGGCACCTCCGACGGGTGTCCTCTGACCATCGTGCTGCAGGGCTGCCTCGCTTCGCCATCGCGCACCGCTGCTGGCGTCGTACGAACGCCTTGAACCAGCTCGTGCAGCGGTGCCTTGGAACAGCTTCCTCCGCTTGCTCTCCGGCACCGGCTGCAGACGGAACGGCGCGAGGGTCTCGTCTGCATCCGGGCGACGGTCGACCGCGGACGATGCAGGATGCGCCGTCGATCGCGACTGCAGCGGCGACTCGGTCACGGCGGGGCGATACCTTGGCGCCGGTCGGACCGCCTCCAGTGAGCTGGTGCGGGTCCAGCCTCGAGGCGGCAGCGCAATGAGGTCCGGAATCTTGTCCCTCTCCTGGCGTGCCCCCGTGTCTCGTTGCTTGCCCTGGGCTGACGGTCCGAACGCCGAGCTGCCTTCACCGCTGCCGTCGATGGCGGGGTGAGACGTTGATGGGCCCGTGCTTGCACGCAGCGCAGCACAGGCTGCGGACACGTCCGGATCGGGTCCCGCAGCTCCGAGCTGGGCCGCGCCCTTGGACAGCGTCGGAAGCTGGCTGGGCGAAGGCGACGAGGAAAAGAGGTACGCCGACGCGAAGAAGGGCGTCGACGATGGCCCCTCGCTGGCGCACGCCTTGGAGTCGTATACGCCTGCGGCGTCCGTCCGACCTGCGAGGCTCGCGCTGGCAGCGCGCGCGTCCGTGGGGGCCGCGGCATGGCTAAGGCCAGATCGACAACCCGCGATCCCGTCGTCCGAGTCAGCCTGAACGACGGGCTGTGGGGCTGCCTGCGGCAGATGCACGGCTTCGCTCGGCGCAGGTGTCTGCGGTGATGCCTGCCGCGGTTCCTCTTCTGTGTCGAAATGCGGATCTGCTGGTGGGTTCCATACACGGGTCATATCGGGCGGAGAAGGGGGGTCAGCAGTCGGCATCGCCGGCCTGAGGCCAAATCTCGGAATGATCGAGACCAGCAGCAGCGCAGATCTCCCCTTTTGTGCCAGCTGCTTCAGCCCTCGTTCGAGCTTGTCAAGCGCAGACACTTACCGTAGATGTCGCTGGCAGCGACGGCGCTGGCAGTGACAGAGGGGGCAGGCTTCTTGACTTCCGTGGACGGACCGGCAATCTCCGCGCTGGAGGTCAGGGAGGCCATCACGCAGCCCGACGCGCTTCGGGGATCGCGGCGGTCGTCGTTGCTGAGGACGTATTCGCGTTCTGCGTTGATCGCATGGCACCGTCGCTCCTGGAGCTCGTGCAGGTGCGTCGCTCCAGCGCCACTGGCGGTCGGCGGCATCGAAGCCGTCGTGGCGGCGTCGAGTGCGCTCGAGCTGGGCCCGGCGGCGTCGAGCGAGGACTGGTACCGTCCAGAGCTGCCGTCTGTGCCGTGCTGGTGCGTCGGCTGCAGGGCATCGTGCTGGAAGTGGGGGTGGATCCGGTGAAGACGATCCGACGCCAGTGCGCCGCTTTCGGAGTGAGAATGGGTCAGGCCGAGGCCATGGCCATCGTGTGCCGCAGAGCCGAACCGGTCGGCGGCGTTCGAGGAGGAAGAAGGAGTCGAGGATGCGGAGCACGAGGCGGTCAGCGTGCCAGCTGCTCCGTTTGCCGTCGAGGCGACGCCGCCGTGCTCGCCGTGCGCACTCTGACCGGTCGGATCAGCAGGAGAGGCAGAGCGGAGCGGTGGGGTGCTGGCGTTGCCCATGGTGGGCGAGGACCCAAACGCAGTGGCAGAGAGCTTGCGCTTGCCCGCGCGGGAGGCGTTTGGGAGGACCGAAGATGCCGAGCCGATCGAGGGAGACCGCCGGATCTGAAAAGGCTGATGATCGTCGGCCGAGGTGTCCATGGTGGGCATGGCGCGTTGCCCGGCGAGGCTTGGGGCAGAGGGAAGGGCGAGGTCGGAGCAGTTGCGCCTAGCTGGGCAATGGCGACGGGGGTGCACCGATCCGAGGCTCCGCCGCAGAGGCTGGCGAGGTCGTCCGCACTCGTAGCTCGCTCAAATGCCGAGACGGTCAGAGTGTCGAACTGGTCCGGGATATGTCGGCGATGAAGCTGAACGACGAGCTAGCCACACGGTCGAGCAAGGTCGCAACAATGCCCAGAGAGATGCCGGGGGTGGGATGGCCCTCGTCCACAGTGATGCTCGTAAAGCGGCAGTCGGAGAGAACGTCGTCGGGCTGAAGAGCGAAAGCTCGTACCGCGGTGATGTCGAGGGGTACAAGACGGCGGCAGGCTGGATAGTGTGGCGGAACTAGGTGCTATTCGGGTTCAGAGGACACTCTCTGATCAGATCGTGGTGCCGGCTGCTCCAGGGAAGGTGCAGAGCGCCAGTCGAGCTCCGGCGAAGTCGCAGGCGGCGCCCGACGTCGTGCGTCGAGTTGCTGATGCCGAGGCCGGGGCGTGGTTTGTTGTCGCTGCTGCAGCGGGCGAGTGACTCGCTGCGATGGCCAACTGGTGGTTCGTGGATATGTGGGTGGGGCCGAAGACGTTGTAGTGCTGCGAGATGGACCGAGGCGAGGGCACCTGCTGGGTCGAGGGCGCTGGGATCGGCGTCGAGGGTTGCGCCCGATCAGATGTGCGGATATGCGATAGCGAGAGAGAGTAGCCAGAGTGTATGGGGAGTAGCAGTAGTAGAGTAGAAAGGTAGCGTCGGCCGAGGAGGAGGAGGGTGTACGAGGCGCCGGCGATCTCGGGGGGAAAGAGGGTCACGGAACGGGCCGAGGTCGGAAGCGCAGGCGGAGAGGAGGGGGCTCTGTGAGAGAGAGGGAGGGAGAGAGAGATGAAGGGAGCCGGACGGGGCGAGAGCGAGCCTCGTGAGGTGTAAGTGGTGATGGTGGAGACGAGGTGGCAGCGAGGACCGGGGCAGACAGCAGCCACACACGCACGCAGGCGTCGAGCAGAGGTTTGGGCTGGGCTGGGCTGGGCTGGGCTGGGCTGGGCTGGGCTGGGCTGGGCTGGGCTGGGCGAGGTCAACGAGGACCAGTAGGCGGGGGGCAGGAGAGCACGCCAGCCCAGAAGGGGCAGGGGCGGAGGCGGAGGCAGAGAGGGGGCGAGCGACGCCTAGCGCTGGCCTGCTGGCCTGGTCCGCTAACATGCATCTTTTGCCCGCCCAAAACGTACGCCCGAGGAGAGCAAGCAAGCGCCGGCAGAACCCCTGCCTGCCTTGGTTTTTCCCTTCGCCATCGAAAGCACACACGCACGCCCGTCCGCCCGCGCGCCTGCGCCAAACGAACCTCCTACCTAGCAAGCCAAGAGGAGGTCGAAAGGCAAAGGTCGAAAGTCAGGCCGAGGACGGGACGGGCCGAGCCAGGGGAGCGGGCGCTGGAGCAGATGAAGGGCCAAGCAGGCTGCAACGACGACGACGACGACGACGATTGCGGCGGCGGCCGAGGCGGAGGCGTCGCTGAACCAGCTCACCTCGGGCCGTTCCGCCCCATGGTCTCGGGCCCTCGCCGCACCGTACCATATATTCACCGCCTCACGCAACGGGTCCAGAAAGAGGCGGGCGGTCGGGCGTGCGGGCGGGCAGGCAGAGCCAAGTGGGGCGGAAGAAGCAGGCAGGTCGATCTGCTCGCCCGAGGCAGCCTCATCCTCAAGCTGCGCCGTATGTTGTACGTGTGTGTGTATGTGTGTGCCTGAAGCTTGGAAATGACCGGTTCCTGGGAAGAGAGTCAGGGGCAGGGGTGGCGGCCGGCCTGCCGTCGTACGGTCTCCCCTGGTCTGCTCGCCGTCGAACGCAAACGACGTCGACGACAAACGACGATCTCGACCAGCCTCGTTCGTTCATCGTTCGGCCGTTTTGCTCGTCCCGCGACCGTTCCTTTTGACGAGCGGGCAAGCAGGCAAGACAAGCAAGCGGTGACGGACGCCCCGCCGACTGCGGCCATGGCAGCGCAGCCTGCCTGCCGGCCTACGACATACGCACACTACACTCGCTTGGCCAGGCCTGGCCTGGCCTGGGCTCGTTACTCTTGGTGTGACGCCGGGGCGGCCGTCGATGGTTTGACACAGTCCGTCTCAGGCAGAGGAAGCGGTAGGTAGCGTTGCGTTTAGTCGAGGTCGTCGAGGTGCGCCGCCCCGCCTTGGCCTCGCCTTGCTTGGGGTCGGTTGAGCCTAGCCTGTCCTTCCAGCCTGCCAGCCTGCGCCCGCGATGCGGTGCGGTTTCGTACTTTTGGACCGGGAGCGAGCCGAGTCGGAGGCTGGACGGTGCGGTGGCAGGCAGCCAGGCCTGGACCCCACGCCGTGGCCCGCCTGCCGCCCGCCCTCTCGAGGGCGCTATTTTGCAACGGCCGCTGGCCAGCCTCGAGGGTTCGGCCAAGCAAGCAGGCCAGCAGGGCTGCCGGTGTCGGGCGGGCCTCGCTGGACTCGCTGCTGCCGCTCGTACGTCGTTTCATGCAGGGTTGCGGGCTGACATGCGCGCAGCCAGGCCAGGCCCCCAGCTCCAGCTCCAGCTGCCGCTCCAGCTCCAGCCAAGAGAAGGCCAGGCCAGGCCAGGCCGGCCGTCTGCTTGCTTGCTTGTTCTCCCGGCCCCGCCTTTTTTGCCTTCTGCACACCGTACGCCTGCTGCAGGCTTGTTCGATTTGGCCGCGCGCAAACCCGGAGGCAGGGAAAAAACTTCGCCCGGTGCCGTACCTCCCTCTTGGCCCAACCTCTTTCGCGGACCAGCCTAATCGTGGGTGCCTGCCCAACGCTGGTCCCCTTGCGCTGCCGTCGACCCGCTTCGGTGCCGGCGAGCCGTCCCCAACCAACCAACCAGCCAGCCTCGCCAGTGCCGCCAATCCAAACGCTGCTCTGAGGTATCGGTACGGTAAGCAGCAAGATGAGCCGTGATGCAACAATGGAAAGCGGATGGTCCTATGTACACAGGTGGCGAGATTCCACAGGAAAAGCGGGCGAGCGGGCGCGACACAATCCGAAGCAAAGGAGCGAGAGGGCATGGGAGGGGGTATATCGGACCATCAGACCTCGACGCCAGAGTCCTCGTCGCCGCGCGCCATCAGTCCGGCTGCGCCGCCCAGCGCCGCCAGGTGCGCCTCTTCGTCGAGCCACCTAAACGACCGCAGCGCGCTCTCCTTCTCCTTCCTGACCAAGCTGCTGCCACCGGCGGCGGTGGGGGCGGCGGCGACGCGGTGCGTGGCGGCGCGACGTCCGATCGATGCGAGGATGTCGACCACCTCGTCGAGATCCTCCTCAAACTGGATCTGCTCCTTGGTCGTCCATTGCCGCCTCGCCGGGCCTTCCTTGGCGGCGGCGGTAGCGGCGGGAATCACATGGGCACCGGCACGGCGCACGGCATGGAGCGTCCGTCGCAGCTGCAGCGTGTGCTGCACCAGGCTGCTCCGGCTCCTCTCCATCGAGGCCAGGTAGGTGGCGGCATTCGGCGCGAGAGAGTGCGAGGCCGACGACGAGGTGGCCAGGGCACGGTAGGTCTGCTGCAGCGTGGCAAACAGGCGCAGGAACTGCAGCCAGCCAAGCACCGACGCGGCGAGCGCGTCGATGGCATCCTGTGGCGGCGCCACCGTCGTCGTCGCCGATCCTTCGCCGCCATCGGTGGCGGCGGCGTCCTCGTCGCCCAGCAGGCGCCGCAGCGCCAAGCCGGCCGCCGATTGGCGCACGCCGCCAGACGCACCGGCAGCCGCCGCCGGCTCGCCGGTGCTCAGCAGCGAGGCGATGCCCTTGGCCATTCCGACGTTGCCAAGCATCAGCGCCCACGTAGCCAGCGTGATGCGCGACAGCTCCCAGCTCGCCGTACCCCGGGGCGCCGTCGCCGCTAGCTTTGCGATGCGCGCGTTCATCGCGGTCCGGCTGCCCGCATCGCTGACCACGTCCAGGTCGAGGCGGTGGTGCTGCTGCGAGCTCGACTGGTGGCTGCAGAAGTCGCGGACCGAGGCGAGGCAGGACAGCGGCCCGGCTTCAAAGATGTCCGGCGCTGCGTCGACGCCTCTCTGCGCGTCGACATGTTGCGTAGAGAGCATGAGCCCGGCCGACGTCGGGCAGGTGCCCTTGACGAGCGACGAGAAGAGCGTCGTCCAGATGTCGCCGAGCTCCCGCGTGTAGAGCGAGTCGGCGATGGCGATCAAGGGCGAGAGGCGGTACCGCTTCGCCTCGCCGTCGAGCGGAGAGGCGGAGGGCGCGTCACCGTCCCGCGACGACGACGACGACGACGACGAAGAGGAGAGGAGGTCGAGCGCCTCATCGAGATCCAGCTTGAGCACGGCATCCATCCAGCCGTCCTTGCCCAGCGACGCCGGCGTGAACGCCGGGGCCGTGCCTTGTTGCTGCGGCGGCGGCAGCTGCCGCTCGTCCGAGCTGATGGTGCGGGTGTCGTCGAGGTCCGAGTCGCCCGAGTCGGAGCTCGCCGAGTTACCCTCCGCCAGGTCCTCGGCGGCAACTTCGCCCTCCTCGTCCGCATCCGCGTCGCCGCTGGTGACCAGGGTCTTGGCGATCTCCCACTGGCGGTCCGCAGCGTCCTGGACAAACTCGATGCCATCGCCCAGCTTGGCCAGCGCGATGGCCAGCGTTCCGTGAATGCGCGCCGGGCTCAGGATCGCATCGTTCGGCGTCGAACGGCTCGGCACCAGTTTGCGGCAAGCGTTGGATACCCTCAGCACGGCGTGGAGACGCAGCAGGAAGGACGGCTGCGCCAGTCGCTCGAGCGACGTCTCCACCTCGACGAGCCGGGTCCATACGGCGAGGTGCTCGTGGTCCAGCGGCATCGCCTGAGCGCCCCCTCTGGCCACGTACGTGTTCCAGACGAGGGAGATGGTTTCCCGCGCGATTGGGCCTACCGCGCCGAGCGTGGACCGCGGCGCGCCCACAAATCCGCGCAGGGCGAGGTCGACGTCCTGCGGCGCGACGTGGGCCCTGCTCAACGACATAAGCATCTCCTTGCGCCTCTTGTTGGTGTCCTGAGCCGCGCGACGCGCCTGCCTCTGCCTGGTCCGGTCGCTGCTGGCCCACCAGCGGGGAGCGAGGCGGGTGACGAGGGGCCAGATGAGCAGCAGGAAGCACACGGCCAGCGACACGTTGCGAACCACCTCGAAGATGAGGGTGTGCGTGGGGACACGATCGAAGCGATGGGGCTCTTGAGGCGCCGAGGGCGGCGCGAGGTAGGCCGTCGAACGCTTGAGCAGCTGGTGGCTCGCGCCGACCACGACCCGTCCGGGCGAAGGACGAGAGACGGCCACCGAGGCATCGCCGGCCGTCGAATCGATGGCGTACTCTGCGCCGCCGCCCAGCATGCTGACGCCCAGGAAGGTGGCCAGCATGTAGCGGGACGGTGCCAGCGCCGCCTTGCTGCCGCGGCCGCCGCGAGCGTGCTGCCGGCGAGACGCGGTCGATGCCGAGGGAGACGAGCTGCTCGATGACACACCGCCGTTGTTGACGTCGTCATCATCGCCGTCGTCGTCGTCATCGTCGTCGTCCGCCTCGCCGTCGTCGCCGTCGAGCTGCAGGGAGAGGTCCTCCTCCTCTTTGGCAGCGGCAGCAGCGGCGGCCGCCTCCTGTTCGGCGACGACCTTGTCCATCTCGCTCTCCCACAGCTCGAGCAGCTCCTCGCCGCCCTCGAGACTCCGGACGAGCTCGCGCAGGCCGGTCACCTCGCTGGCGAGGCGCAGCTCGCGGCCTTTGAGGTACTTGATGTAGTCGGTGGCCTTGCCGAGGATGGTGGCCTTGTTGAGCTTGGTCGCGGCCGGCACGCCGTCGACGAGGTCCTCCTCTTGCTGCGCCTTGCGGCTCTTGCGGCCGCTGGGCGTCTTGCGCGGACGCAGCTCCCGGAGCGCCGGCACAGAGTTGCGCAGCGCGGCGATGCGGTCGTTGATGTTGTTGCGGTAGCGGCGCTCAATGGCGTTGTGCGCCACCTTCTTCTGCTGCCGCATCTGCGGCGTCAGCTCCGGCTTGTCGCCGGCGTCGCCCTTGTTGGCGCCTGAGGGCGAAGATGACGCAGACGGTCGGCCATCCTGCTGCTGCTGGGCCTGCTCCTTGAGCCTCTGCGCCTCGGCCGCCTCTTCGGCCTCCCTGAGCCTCTTGGCCTTGAGCCTCTCGATGGCCGCAAGGGCGGTGGCGTTGCTTCCGACCTCCATGTGCGGCAGCTTGCTCATCGCGCGACCTGGCAATGCCTGGTTGGCGGCGGCGGCTGCCGGGATGGGTGCGGGTGCGGCGGCAGGCGTCGCCTTCGGGCCGCTGGGATCCGCCTTGAGCTTCTTGATCGCGCGAGCCCCAGAGGCGGCCGAAGCTTTGGCGGCCGCTGCTTTTGACGTCTTCTTCGCAGAGCCGTTGGTGGAGCCCATCTCGGCTGCGGTCCGCTTCCGCGCTTCGGCCTTGGTCTGGGGTGCCACCGCGGGCGGCGCAGCAGGCATGGCGACATTGTCGAGCGCCGGAGCTGCCGGAGCAGGCATCGGTTGGCTGACCGAAGGCAGTGTGGTGGCGCTGGTCGGCGCGAGGAAGCCGGGGTTCCAGGCGCTGTTGGTGGCGGGGAAGTTGGACATGGCTGCGGCGGCGGCCAGGTCGATTCCCGCGCTCTGCAGCAGCTCGAGCGGGATCTGCATCGAGGTCGGGTCGACGGCGGCGGACGAGGCGTTGGGCGCGCCGAGCACACCGTCGCCCTCGATACCGGTGCCGATGCTCGAGGGGCTGAGGCCAGAGAGCATCGAGATCGAGCCGTTGCGGCCTCCGAGATAGCCTGCGTTTCCCAGATCGCTGTCCGGGGGCGTCGGGAAGTTGTGGGCGCCGTAGACAAAGTCGTGGAAGCTGCCTGGGCTGGCGCCGTTGTCGCTGCCGCCAGAAAAGTAGGACGAGGATGCGTGCGAGCTGGGGATGCTGCTCATGGCCGTAGCGTCAAAGTCGAAGCTCGAGTCGGGGATGTCGTCGGGACCACCCGAGCCGACGAGCAGGCCCGGATCCTGGCCATCGATTAGGCTCTTGAGGAATGAATCGTACTCGTCGACCTGCCACATTGAGCTAGCCATGTTTGCCAGCGCATCGTCCGGCTTGCCTGCGGGCGGGAGCGACTGCTGACCGAGTTGCTGTTGTTGTTGCTGCTGCTGCTGCTGCTGCTGCTGCTGCTGCTGCTGCGGGTCGCCGAGGTAGGCGGTCCCGCCAAAGTGCTGCTGAGCTGCCAGCATCTGGCGCGGGCTGAGGTGGAAGCTACGGAGCTGCTGCTGCGGCAGCGGCAGGGGGGTCGGTGGTGGCGGCGGCGCAGATGGCGGATGCGAACGCTGCGAATGGTGGAATGGAGGGCTGCCGGACAGGGGTGAGATGGGGGTGGGAGGGGAAGCGAGCAGCAAGGCAGGATCCGAGGATGTGCGTTGGTGGAGAGCCTGCGAGTTGAGCTGGAACTGGGGCAGCGCGTGGGGCGAGGATGCTGCCGGGGACGAAGAGGGACCCTGTTCGGGAGCAGCAGCAGCAGCAGCGGAGGGGGCGTGGATGGGTGGCGGAGGAGATGAGGAGAGAGGGGCAGCCGAGTGGGCCGGTTGGTCGGTCGAGGAGGGTGTCATTTGGGCTTGGGCGCCGGGGCGGGGCAAAGTCGAGCTACCGATCGGGTTGGAGCGGGTGGGTGAGTGGGTGGTAAGGTGGCGGCGACAATTTCGGACAGTGGACAAACCGCCTCAGGCCATTACGGCACGCGCGAGGTCGGGGCGGACAGCCAACAAAGGTCAAAGCGCCGCTACTACGACTTGCTTGATGTGCCGGTCGTCGTACTGCGGTGGCGATGCAGCCGGGATGACCGATCGGAAGCTTCTTTCGGCGGTCAAGATGTGTGGCGCGATGGCGACGGACTGCGAGGCAGGCAGGCAAAGAGAGAGGGAGGGCGAGGTGGTGGTGGACAAACGTACGATCTTGTCGGGTCGCCCGGTCCTCGAACCAAGAAGGTGGTCTGATTGCGGTCGTCCCTCCTTTGCCGACGCCGGCACAGCCGCAGAGGCCCGGCACGCACGCTGCTCAGCAGGCCAAGAGGGCAGGGCTGGCGGGCAGGCAGAGAGGCAGGGTCCCGCTGCCCGCCCGACTTTTTAGAGCTCAACGACACGCCCGCAAGCAGCCGGAGCGATCCCACAAGCTGCTGCTCCTGGCCGGCCTGCTCCCCACCCGACCAGCGTCTTGCAAGAGGTCGGCTGCGATCGACGTCAGGTCATGTCGTGTCTGCGGCGGCAAACAGAGAGGCAGGGAGACCCGCTGCTGACGACGTGGGGGCCTGGCACGCCAAGCTTGGGGCGGGCAGGAGACAGCTATGGGCTGCCAGAGGGGGACCGCCATCGTACGACGTCCCGAGGCCGCGTGCAAAGTGGCATGACTTTGGTCTGCTGCACTCTTGTATGATAGTTGATATATTTTCAATTCGGCGTTCGAACATCACAAGCCTCGTTAGCGTAGTTGGATTATCGCATCTGTCTAATACACAGTGCCTCAGCACGAGCTGAGTATCAAACAGAAGGTCACTAGTTCGAGCCTAGTACGGGGCATCATATTTTTGGCCATCGACAGTCCATCCTTCAGTATTTTTTTTTGCGGGCTTTTCGGGCTGCTCTTCCTTCTCGATGGTCGGGCCTGGTATGACCGCTCACCACGCCGAGCATGGAGGCACAACTTGTGTTAGGAGCAGCCGCCACTACCTGCACCTGTTGCCCGACTGACTGCTTTTGCCGCGGTCGGCGCGTCAATCCAAGATGTCGAGGCTGGACGTTGAAGCCCGGCCAGGCAGGCCAAGCAGCTCACTACGGACGGCCTGCCAGGCCTTGCTTTGGCACCGTGACGCGACCCTGCTCCACATGTCAGGAGGAGCCGCTCGACCAAACACGCAGCGGAAAAAGCAAACACCGGTAGGAGCCACCGACCTGCCGGCTGCGTTTCCGGTGTGACGACCATCACTTCTTCGCTGCTGCTGCTGCTGCTCCGTCTTCGTCCCCCTCCTGTCCATCCACTCGCCAGCCAGCTCCGACGCTGGGACACGTCGTCGTCGCTACGATGGTCTTTATCGTCAAGATCCCCAACCACAACCGATCCAGGGGCAACACGCCGGACCCTTCGAGCGAGGCGCCAGAGCTGCCGCCGGCGGACCCGGAGCCGCAGCAGCCTGCGACCTCCGATGCTGAGCCCATGCTCCCTTCGCAGGGACCGGTCGCAGAGGCGAAAGATCGGCAACCTCTCCGACCAGCCGGCCCGGCCGCGCTCGACATCCTGCTGGCGCCTGCCGTGCTCAACCACCGCTACGTGCGCGGCGTCGACAAGTCGCTGATCGTCGAGCGGCCGGAACGCATCCGAGCGGTGCTCCTCGGCGTCGCCGGCGCCATCGGAAGTCACCCGCAATCGCAGGGGCAGCAGCAGGAGGGAGCGCGCGCCGCCGTCAAGTCGGAGAGCTCCGCCGGCGATGCCGCCGACGACCTCGTCGCCCAGCTCTCGTCGCTGTCGGTCCGAGGCGACGACGCTCGCACCGGTGCCCCGCCGCCGTTTCGCGTGCTTCACTCGACCCGCTCGCTGAGCCTCGACCCGCCGCACCCGTCGGTCGGGTACGTCCATGCCCATTCAGACGAGATGGTCGAGGTGCTCGAGTCGGCCTACGCCGAGGCAAAGAGGAAGCGCCACCAGGCCAGGCAGGCCCGGCTCGATGTCGATGTCGAAGCCGACGTCGACCTCGATCCCACGATCACGTCCGCGAGCACGGCTGCTGCCGAACCCGAAGCGCAGCAGCAAGGGACACGGGCGGCCCCCTCCAGCTCGCATGCTGCTTACATCCACCACCTGGCATCGCGAGCGCCGAGCGAGCCACCCCTCTCGCAAGCGGCTCAGGCTGCGAGCCGCGATCAAAAGGGCGCCCCGGCATCGTCCAGCTCGACGGCCGAGAGCGACGACTACACGTCTAGCGACGGCGAGGGTGATGACGCCATGCATCCGTCCGAGATCCCCCAGCACCTCCCGCAGGGCGATCTCTACCTGGCAGGGGCGACCGACGAGCGCGGCGATGGCGGGTCGAGCCAGGCGATCCGGCATGCCATGGGCGCATGTGCCGAGGCCGTCGACCGCGTCGTCGCGGCGGCGCGCGCCGAGAGGCAGACTGGAGGCGGTCCATCGGCCCGGCCACTCAGCGAGCTGGCAGAGGTCCGATACGACGATCAGGCATTCGCGCGCGGGGAAACGAGCGATGCGACCGAGCCGCCAGCGAGCCGGCAAGAACCAGGCGATGGCATCGGTGGGCCACCGTCGAAACGCGCCTTTGTCCTGAGCAGACCGCCAGGCCACCACTGCTCTGGCTCCTCGCCCTCGGGCTTCTGCTGGATCAACAACGCCGTTGTCGCCGCCGCCCACGGCTACCTCGACCACGGCATCGATAGGGTCGTCGTGTTCGACATCGACCTCCACCACGGCAGTAAGTTTTGAACGGATCCGCTGACAGGTGCACGCCCAGCTGTAAGTGATCGCCTGACAGCTGACCAAACTCTTCCCCCTTCGTCCTCTCAACATCTCTGTGTGATATCGTCTCTTGCAGACGGCACGCAGGCCTTGGCCTGGCGAATCAATGCGGACAGCCAGCGGCACGACCTCGACCGCGAAGCCCAGCTCGAGGCGCTGCGGGCCAGTGCCGTGGAGCGCAACCGAGCCGCCCTCAAGTCGGGCCCGCGAGGCCGCCAGGGCGCCGCCGCCGCCGCCGCCGCTGCCGCTTCGCTGGTCGACCAGAAGGCGCTCGAGGCCCAGGTCGGGCCGAGAGGGCTGCGCATCTTCTACAGCAGCATCCACGACATCGAGAGTTTCCCCTGCGAGGATGGCGACCCGGACCTCATCAGGGACGCCAGCGTCTGCGTCGAAGGCGCGCACGGGCAATGGATCTGGAACGGTGAGTCACGCTTCCCGCGGGCATCGAGCCGGCTGAGCGGCGGGAGAAAGGATCCGAGGATGAGAAGATCGAAGAAAATGGTAAAAGGTCTGAGACAGCTCGTTCGCAAGATCACCGGTCGCGCGACGGGCTGTGCATGTTCAGAGGGCACCCGCATACGTTGCGGGCCCCGACAAACACATACGATGAGGATCGCATCTCGCGCCTGCCAGGGAGCCGTGTCATGATCGATGCAGAACGGAAAGCTGATCGTCGTTCCGCTCCCCGCTGCGATGGACCATGGTGCCCGACGTGCACGCCCGACAGTCCACCTCGACCACTACCGCGACGAAGACGACTTCTACCGGCTGTACGACGAGCGCTACTCGGCCCTGTTTGACAAGGCGAGGCGCTTCCTGGAGCGCACGGATGCGAGGCCCGAGTCGACCCTGGTCCTCATCTCTGCCGGCTTCGACGCCTGCTCGTACGAGTATCCGGGCATGCAGCGCCACGGCAAGCACGTCCCGCCGAGCTTCTACGACCGCTTCGCCCGGGACTCGGTGCGCTTCTCGGAGCGCTGGGCCGAGGGCAAGGTGATCAGCGTCCTCGAGGGCGGCTACTCGGACCGCGCCCTTTGCAGCGCCGCAATGGCCCACGTCATGGGGCTCGCCGGCACGACGGCGACGCCAGGCGCACCGACCGAGCCCGCATGGAGGCTCGAGAACCTGGTGCACCTCGAAAAGATGTCCAAGAAGATGGCCGCCTCGGCAGCGGCTGCCATCGCTGGCTCATCGACGCCCTCGGCGGCGCGTCGGCGGGGGCCCGAGCCGCCGGCCTGGGTGTCGCGTTCGTCGGTTGCTTTTGCTGCCTTCGAGAGGTGCTGCGGCAAGAAGGAGGTCTATCCACTGGGCGTCCCATCGCCGGCAGCAGCCGCGGCCGCCGCATCGCAGTCGCAGGCAAGAGCAAAGAGGTCGGCAGGGGCGTCGCTCAGCGCCGCTTCTAGCCCGGGCGGGTCGTCGGCCGCCACTGGCCGCGTGCTGCGCGATCGAAGCGCGCTCAAGCAGCGTTCGGCCTGGGACCCCAGCTCGCCCTCTGCGGTAGCCGGCGTAGCGTGGGATCACGTCGCCAAAGA